GCCCTCGAAAGTGGCGGCATTTTCGCAGATCGCAGCCCCCCAGGGACGGCGAGGTCAACCTCAGATCTGCGCGGTGCCTCACTCCGCAGGACCCACCAGCAGCCTTCGAAAGTGGCGACAGTTTCGCAGATCGCAGCCCCCAGGGACGGCGAGGTCTCGCTCAGATCTGCGTGGTGCCTCACTCTGCAGGACCCACCAGCAGCCCTCGAAAATGGCGACAGTTTCGCAGATCGCAGCCCCAAATTGGCGGCGAAGAGAGGGCAGGAGGCGAGAGGAGGCGGGAGGCGGCAGGAGGAGGAGGAGGGACGCGACCACAGTGCTCTATTCAAAACGAATACCCAACCAAGGAGGGTTGGGAATAATGAGAATGAGGGGGGCGAGCGGTCACTCACTGTCCCTGGGTGCGTAGAGGAAGTGGGCTTCTGCAGTGCGGATGTATGTTATTTTTGTTGAGTGCTGATTATAAATATGGTTAATCCCCCCTCTCTGGGGCACATCGTGCGTTTCCAGCAGAAGTACCCTTCCCGGGGCCGCCTGATACTTCCTCACAATGTATTCCCGAATCGTGTTCTCGCGCGGGACTTCCTCAGAATGTATGCAGAAATCGTGCTCTCGTGTGGGACTTCCTTGCAATGTATTCAGGCGCCGCGCCCTCGACACTCAGGAATCACGCTGTCGCGGCGGATTCCCTTACGATTTACTTGGAAATCGCGCTATTGTTCGAAACTTCCTTGCGCTTCATGCAGGACGCACGCTTCAGCAACCCGCCTGCTCGACCTGACCGCCTGGGCCCGCCTTCCCGACCCGCCCGTTAGGGTCTGTCCGCCCCATAAGCCCGTTTGGTTATGCTACGTGTTTTCTGCTCCTAGTCCACCTCCTGCTATTTTCTCTCGTGCTCCATCCTCCTCCTTCCCCTTTCTCCCATCTGTCCCTCCCTTCCCCTGTTTTAAGGGCTGCACGAAATACGCGTTGCAGATAAGAAGAATATATACCCGCAGCGGGGGCAAGATCGAAGACGAAAAGGGCGGGCATCGAAGGTTCGGGATCTACGTGTTGAATGGCAGGAGGGTTTGTTGATCCCCTCCCTTCCGGTAACATCTGCGCGTTTCAATTGAAGTGCCCCTCCTGGGGCTCGCACCGTTTATCTTTTATCAGGCGAAATTCTGGTGTTCAAACTGCGTCCCCCGACCCTGAACTCCAACAACAAAGGCGTTCGCCGGATACTTCCTCGCAAGGTACTGACGAATCGTGTTGCCGCTTGGGGCTTCCGTGCGACTTACTCGGGCATCGTGCTCTCTCCTGTGACTTCCTTGCAATTTGCGGAGGCGCCGCGCGCTCGCCATTCCGGACTCGCGCTCTTGCCTGGGACTTGTTCGAGAATTATGCAGGACTCACGCATTCGCTATATTTCGGCAGTGGACAAACCTCCCTTTAGTAAACCTCCCCTTAGTGAAAACGGCCTGGGACCGAAACCGACGGACCTGGACCCGCAAAAATGACAGCCGCGACGCCCTCTCACGAACCGAAAACGGCCAATTCCTTACTCGACGTGTCAGGGTAGGAGGTCTGTCCACCCCCGAATATTCAGGAGCCGCGCCTGCGCTTGAGTCATCCCGGCAGTCTGCTGAAGAATCGCGCTCTCGCCCGACACCTCCTCGCAACTTACGCCGGCGCCGCCAGCTCCTGGTCCTTCGGCCAAACTTATGATGCTCTCAGCCCCCCTCCTGCTCCCGCACAGCGTATTCAAACGCCACGCCCTCGACACTCAAGGCTCGCGCTCTCGCTCTGGCTCTTCTCACGATTCACCTGGGAATCGCGCTCTCGCTCGGGATTGACTCGCGAATCATGCAATACTCACGCTTCAGCAACCCGCCTGCTCGACCTGGCCGCTGGGGCCGGCCTTCCCGACCCGCCCGTCAGGGTCTACCCGCCCGTTCTGCCACGTGTTTCGAGGTGCTACCGCCGGGTGACTGCCCGTACCCGTAAAATGAGGGGGTGCGTTTGGGGACTCGAGGACAGCCAGGACAGCCGTCAGGTCGGCGGACAGAGGAACGTCAGCGCAAGGATTCCTCGTTCACAGCGGGGAGAACGGACGCCGCGCTGCGAGAAGGATCAAACACAACGGCAGCGCTACGATGCTGATGATAAGAATGATGACAAATATTGAAATGATGATGACGACGATGATGCTGCTGATGATGATGACGATGCTGCTGGTGATGTTGATGACGATGGTGATGATGATCTGGACGCGGATCATGAGGATGGTTTCCATGCTGTCGATGATGATGGTGATGCTGCTGCTGAGGACGAGGACGTTGTTCGTGATGATGCTGATGCTGATCGTGATGATGATGATGATGATGACGATGATGGCGATGATGATGGCTACAAAGATGATGACGTTGGTGGCGATGATGAGGGCAATCCCGGTAAATATGACGAGATGCATCGATGATGATGACGAGGATGACGACTAGGCCGAAGATGCAGTGGCGGATGTTGCTGATGTGCTTGGCAATGATGGCGACGATGACGAGGATTGTGACGACGCTGATTGTGGTCATGATGATGATGGTGGTGGTGATGATAATGATCATGATGAGTAGGACGACGATGACGATGATGGCGATGACGATGACGAGGATTATGCTGCTGATGATGATTGCTATATCGATGATGCTGATAATGCTGGTGATGATGCTGATTATGATGCCCATACTGATAATGACAATGCGGATGTGGATGCTGATGATGATACTGCTTCTGGTGTTTGTGATGATGAAAGTGGTAATGAAGATGATGCTGTCGATGATGATTGTGCTGCTGATGCTGATAGTGATGCTGATGATGCTGCTGATGATGATGCTTATGATGATGATGATGAGATGATGATGATACTGCTGCTGCTGCTGCTGCTGCTGCTGCTGATGGTGATGGTGATGCTGATGCTGATGATGATGATGATGATGATGATGATGATGATGATGATGATGATGATGATGATGATGATGATGATGGTGGTGGTGGTGGTGGTGGCGGTGGTGGTGGTGACGCCCGTTCTGGTCGAAGTGGGGGGCGGGCCAGGGCAGAGAGCGCCCCGGGGGATGGGAGCGACGGCAGGGGAGGCGTGCAGCCGAGGCCCCGGGGAACTTGCAGGCGTGCGCCGTAGGCGGCCCTGGCAGCGCATTGGGGACCAAGGGGGGGGATAAGGACGCCTAACGTCGCACTTCGCGCGGGGAGCCGCGCGAAGGCGCGAACAGCTCGGCGCTGCCGCGTCGCCCCCCCAGGGGAGAAGAGGATATGTGGAGGACTCGGAGCCGAGCCGCGAAGCGCGAGCAACTTCGCGCCCTCGATAGGAAGGCACCAACTATACACCAACACCGATCCTGGCCAGGATCACCCTGGGCCAAGGATCGGTGTATACGCCCTCCTGCCTTGCGCAAGAAGGCATATACACCGATCCTGGGCCCAGGGTGATCCTGGGCCAGGATCTGTGTTGGTGTATAGTTGGTGCCCTCCGACTCGAGGGCGCCCTTGGTGAGACGGGTGAGGATGGTAAGGCTTCGGACGGCGCACGGACAGCCTCCCCAGGTAGTCCCCCAACTGGCCACGACGGGAACCCCGAGCAGTCCCAGCTGGCCTCAGCAGCCCCCCAGAGTAGTTGAAGGGGCCCTGGGACACACACACATAAATATACACAAACAAAATGATTTCCCTATATTTTCCTATATTTTCTGGGTCTTTGTCTTCCCCCCTCACTTCCTATATTTTCCCATATTATCCTGGGACTCGACGATTAATTGTGTCTGTGTTTCTTTCCCTCCTGAGCAGTCGGGGGCGGTCTCAGCACCTCAACCCTTGGGTGCGGAACGCCCGAGGAGCGCGGCCGTGCTGAGGCTGGCTAGGGGCTACCTTGGGGGGCCGTCCGTGCGCAACCCAAACGGAGCCTCGCGAGGAGAGGAGCGAGAGGAAGGAGGGGGTGATGGGAGCTGCGCAGTGATACCCCGCAAGCGTTCGCCGTGGACCGGCGAGGTGAGAATGCCGCTGCTGTCACCTTTTCTCCTGCTCCTTCCACGCCACGCCTCCCCTCCCGTCCCCTGCCCCCTCCTTCATCATTATCCCGTCTGGCCTCCTCCTACTCCATACTGCCCTCCCCGACCCCTTCCCCTGTGCCCTCCTCCACTCTCCTCCATTCTGCCCTCATCTGCCTTCCCCCCTGCAATTTTTTTGCAATCCCATCGCTGCTAGCCTGACCCCTCAGTCATCCTCGTGCGTCCGCTCGTCACCCTCCTCCAACTCCTGGTCCTCGTCCCCACCCTCATGATGATGCTCGTACTCATCGTCCTCGTCTTACTGCTCCTCATCCCTTCACCTTCATCCAAGATCTTCCTACTGTTACTGGCCCTTCCCAAACCACTACGTACCTACATATGTTTTCCTACTCGTCACCACCATGTTCTCCACGATCCTCACACTTTCACTATGACGCCTCATCTTGAATCATACTCGTGCATCTCCCTCCAGCCACTGACAAGCATGATACCGGCGACGATTCCGATTTCCACAATGACCCCGACCCTTGAGGTCCAAAAAATCGGTCACTGGCTTTGTGGGCCCCGGAAACGACAGGGCCGTTTTTTCATCGTTTCCAGAAAATGTCCCTTAAAAATGGAAACGGCAAAAAAACGGCGACCAGAAACGGCAAAAAAACGGCTCCAAGATTGGAACCGGAGCCTGAACCAGTAAAACAACGGCGTCGGAACCGGCAAAAAAACGGCAGAACGGAACCGGTAACAAAACGGCCCTGTCGTTTCCAGGGCCCACCAAGTCACTGGCTCTCCCGGTACCAAAGAAACCAGCCGCCGTCATAGCAGCAGCGCCTGCCCACCCGCGCAGTCGCTGCCCAGCCCTCGGGATCGCTCGGCTCGCCGGCGCGCGTCTGGTACGCTGCGGACGCACGCGACAAACGAGGTGAAGTAGCCGACCGCGGCAGCGGCTCACGCGGGGCAGCTCTGGAACTGCCTACCCGAGGTCTCCAGCCGAAGAGCTCGCATCGCCACTTGAGCATGTCTCGCCGCCGTCTGTGGAGGCAGCGTCGTCCAGCTCGTGCCGAGGCAGCTCCTTGCTGAATCGGTCGGGTTGGCATCGCAGTGCGGGAGGCGTGGACGAAGCCCGCGCACGGCGTTCATACAGTGGTTCCACGTCCACGTCGAGGAACGTATTCTTGACAACGACAGACTTCCAGAGCTCCTCAGGCGAGCAGGCCGAATAAGAAGCCATGGCGTCCTATGGTATATGGAGTCGCGATGATTGGTCGCGATATTCGCTGTGGGCAAAACGTAAGTCAGACTGAGCACCTGAACCAAAGCGTACACAATTACGATGATGACGACCACGCGGCGGCGGAGCGACAAAGCCATGTGACAATTCTAAATGGTCCATAGTCCTCAGATGGGAAATGCACAATGAACGGAGAGCATGATTCGCCGCCATCACACATGGCCCCCCTCACCACCCCGAAATGTTACTCCGTGGCAATCTTGTACTCCTCACAACACAACCATGAAAAAAATTGGATGTCTGACAATTATCAATTTGACCAAACTACAAAATTATGATAGCGGAGCTTGTGGACTGGAAACCTTCAGACGGTAAAAGACCGTGGCAACGCCTAGACATCCACAAGAAGAGGGCGAACGTATGCTCAATTCTACAGCCATCGTAATCCCTCGCTTGCGAAAAATATGGATACCCACCCCCCAGCCGGGAAAGTCTCGAAGCAAGACTCCCCTGTAAGCGTCCCGAGTGGAATTGTGGGAGTAAGTGGACAAATTGGCATCCAATGACCTCCAGCAACTTTGTGAATGGTCCTTCCTCGCAGGACTGTTGGAACTGACTGGCGACATGATAGCGGTGAGCTGGATGCGAGCACCTGTTGTCGCAATGGGCGCAGGGAAAAAAGAGGGAGTGCAGCCATTCGTGGAAGCCGGGAACCATCGCGCAGAGTCCACGAGTGTTTCTGACACTGCCGTTCGATATCTTCCCTTTGGTCGTTACAGCCCCCTCCAAGTCCCGACCACTTCTCCAGGGCCGCCCCTCTTGAGGGGCAACGAGACGGCGGGACTGGCTCAGAGCTGGATGCATCGATCTTGAGTCGGCGATGCATCGTCGACTTGTATCGGCGAGAGAATCCCGATAGCGAATCCGACCGTTCCTGGACAGGGTGGGCCATCACGCCCCCGTCGGCGATGAATGGGCGATCGGGGGTTGATGCGGAGGAGGAGGAGGAGGAGGAGGTGGAGGAGG